CATGCAAGGCCAACGTCCTACCCACTGTGCTATCACACCAGCTCTCCCCTCCTTTTTTTTTTTTTTTTTGGTTTTGGTGTTATGCCTGGCAGTGGTCAGGATGGACTCCTGGCTCTGGGCTCAAGGATCACTCCTGGAGGGATTCAGGGGAGCCCGAGTGGTGCGGATCGACTTAGGGTCAGCCATGTGCAAGGCAAGTGCCTTCTGACTGTCCTGTCTCTTGGCCCCCCCAGAGGCCCTTCTGATCATACTGAGGTTTTCCTTAGCCAGGCGTCTCCCCGACACTTGCCTCTGACTCGTAACACCCTGTGCCTTGAAGTCGGATATTTCCCTTCACATTTTACAGACGGTAAAAGTGAGGTGATGAGCAGGATGGGGGACTGGAGGAACTGGAATTGACGTCCTGCTTTGCATGGAGCCCCACTGCCTCCTTGTCAGAGGACTCATCCCCCACCCCCATGCCTCCTGCTGCAGGGCTTCATGGCTGGCTGGCAGGACTTGTTAGAGGGATCAGGGGAGGACTCAAATGGGAGGTGTCACACCCAGCCCCACCCACCAAGTCTGGCTTCCTGATTGCCCATCTCCATGGATCACACCTCAACACATGGGGCCCAGATGTCTGTCTATCCTGCGTGTAGTTCCCCATGTACTCATGTTGTTAGGGCTCTGTATAATCACATCCCCACACAGACATGTACACACGCATGTCAGAACACATGCTTGTCACCCTCCTCATAGCTCCAGGTCTGGCCCCTGCCAGCAGCTGGCCAAGCTGGGGCACACACATGGCTGGGCAAGGTGCAGAACCCGTGAATATTTCATGGCTGGAGCTGGCGGCTGCCTCTCCCACCCGCATACATGCCCGCGCCTCCTCTCACAGACTTCTTGTTTATTTGTTTAATGAATTATTTATCTCTTGCTGCCCCCCCACACACTCCTTTCCCTGCTGGCCTCCCCCTCCCCCAGGCCCTGCCGCCATGATTTATTGAACGCATTTCAGCTCCATGGTTGCCACTGAAGGTCCTGTGAGCCGCCCTCGGCCACAGAGCCTGAGCATTCCCTCTGTCCCCAACCTTCTCAGCTCCCTGCTCCCAGGGTCCCCGGGGCCAAGAGCGAGGCACTGTGTTCAGAGAGCTCCCGGGAGCCTGCGCTTGGAGTGTCTCGGGAGAATATGGCAGTGGTGGTGGGGCAAGGCGGGGGTCAGAGGAGACTGAAGGCAGAGGCCTCGGCCCTGGAGAGAGAGGACCAGCCCTAAGAGACAGTCCCCAGCTCCTCAGAGCCCTCGCCCTCAGGAGAGGTGCCCGTCAGGGCCCAGGCCTTGGAGACCAGGCCTTCACACTACAGCTTCAGACCCACCAGGGGTGCTGAAATCAAACCCGTTTTGTGCGTCTCACCAAGTTTTTTGTTTTATTTCACAAAGTGTTAAGGCTACAACAGCAGGACTGGAGAGAAAACTCAATGGACCAGAGCACATGCTTTGTAGGCAAGAAGCTCGAGTTTGAATTTTTTTTGTTTTCTCTTTGCGGTGATGCACAGGGGTTACTCCTGGCTTTGCACTCAGGAATTACTCCTGGCGGTGCTTGGGGGACCTTATGGGATGCTGGGAATCGAACCCGGGTCGGCCGTGTCTGAGGCAAACACCCTACTCCCTGTATCATCGCTCCAGCCCCCTTGGGTCTTGACCCCACACCAGGTTCCCCAGCCCTTCCAGAGGGGACCCCTAACCACAGAGCCAGGAATAGCCTCTGAGCACTGGCAGGTATGGCCCCTGAGCACTGCTGGGTGTATGGCTCACAAAAGCAAAAAACAAAAAACAAAAAAAGATTGAATAGAAGAAACATATCAGGATGCATCAGAGAAAAAAAAAACTGTTACAGGACTGAAACAAAAGTCCAAGAGGGTAGGGCACTTGCCTTGTACCTGACCTACCCGGGTGCAATCCCCGGCATCCCATATGGTCCATTGAGCACCACCAGGAGTGATTCTTGAGCACAGAGCCAAGTGTAAGCCCTGAGCAGTGCCAGGTGTGCTTCCTCCCAAACCCCCCCCAAATATAGCATGTAGTGTAAGTTTGTTACATGTGAACATATGCTTAAGTGTGTGTGCTCTAGATCATATGCAGAGGGTTACAAATGTAAAATATAGATCTTACAGGCTGGGAAAATAGCATAGTGGTTGAGGCACTTGCCTTGCATGTGGGTGACTCTGGTTTAATTTCCATCACCTCAGTGGGTCTTTTGAGCACTGCCTGGAATGACCCCTGAGCACAAAGCTTGGAGTAAGTCCTGAGCACTGGCAGGAATTCCAAATCACCTAGATGTTGATATATATCATCTTCCTGTAAGTCACAGGTGGGGAAAGGTCTGAATCATAAACACTGGTGAGACCCTGGACCTTTTCATATCCCAGAGGCCACTGAGTGAGGCCTCAGCTTCAAATGAGGTCATAGGGATGTGGACAGTGACCAGGCTGCCTCCACAGAGATCCATCTCTGAGTAGACCAGCCCTGGCACAAAGACCCACAGAAGGCCAAGTGCCATAGCTAAAGGCAACACTTTCAGGCCCCAAGGGCCACAGAGAAGTCTGCCCCACGGGCCCTGCAGAGCCACTGCCTGCCTCAGTGCCCTTCTCCCAGGGAGACTTGCAAGCCAGGCTCCCACCAAAGGAAGCTGCACTTTGTCTTTTTCAGAAAGGCACCACTGCTCATCAGAGATACACCCGAAGGACTAGGCCTGCACAGAGGGACGCTTTCTCTGCTCCACACAAAAGCCTGATGCTCAGCAGCTGACTGGGAACCAGGCCTGGGAGAACTCCAGGGTCAGAGGCCTAGGCCCCAGAGGGCAGCTCCTGACTTTCAAAGCAGAGGCTTCAGCAAGCACTGCCTGGATCCCAAAGAAAGGGGTTGGGGCAATAGGACAGTGGGTAGAGCCCTGCCAGGAGTGACCCCTGAACATTACTGGGTATGGCTCCCAAACAAAACAATTAGATTAGATTCCAAAGAGAGGGGTGCTAGAAAGAAGGGCACGGTTGTTGCTGGAGATGAAGGGGATGGGGTGAGAGAGTCTACACAGGGAGTCCTGTGGAAATGGACCCATAATGGGAGCCAGGCTACAAAGACTTGGGGTTCCATTGTGGAACCTGAGCCCCCCTACAGAGCAGTGCATTCTGATTCCTGCTGGTGGACAGCTCATACAACCAGCACATTGCCAGGCGAGTTGGGGGGCACTGGGGCCGTGTCCCCTGGAGCCAGCAGGTCACCATCATTTGGGTGAAACCATCTCCCTGGGGATAAGGAGTCTGGGGGGTGGAGAGCTGTTTGCACAGTCCCTCAGTCCCCCGCCAAGGCCCCCAAGGGGCCTAATTTATCTTCTGACTCTTGAGAAGGGAGATCTCCTGGGGTGGAGAGGAGCCGGGAGAGGGCAGCCTGCGTTTGCCTGGCAGCAGCAAGGCACCATCCAGGCTTCTCCTGCGTGGCGTGGCAACGCCCCCAGTCCCAGTAGCTGCCGGACGCTGCTCCTGCTTTGCGCGCAAGGCTCGTGTTGCCTGGGCTGCACAGAGCAGGCCTGTATGTCCTTTTTCCTGAAACGAGAGAGAGAAGAGCCTCAGGTCTGGCTCCCAGGGCCCAGGTGATCAGCCAATTGGGACTCTGAGAACCTGGTCTGAGGCCCTGTCCTCTGGCCACTTGTGGTTTTGTTTGTTTGGGGACCACACCCAGTGGTGCTCAGGGATCACTTCTGATGGGGCTCTGGGGATCTTATGTGGTGCCTGGGGTTGGCTGCATGTAAGGCAAGAGCCTTACCCAGTGGCCTATTGCTCTAGCCCTGTCCTGGCCACACTTAGAGTGAGCCAGGTGAGAGGTGGGCACCCCCAGTGTGGGTGTCTCACTGTGTGTGTATGTGTGTGTGTGTGTGTGTGTGTGTCTGGCAGCCAGTGCATCCCCCCGACCTGTGCCTCTGGGTGTGTGCACCTCAGCTCCTGAATAGGTCTGTGTCATGTTGGGTTCTGTGTCACTGAGGGCATGATGGCTGTGTTGAGAGCTGGAACAAGAGTGGCTTACACCCTGCCCTCTGCACTCTGCTCTCTGTCTGGGATAGCAGGCATGAGGATAGTTGGAGAGCCCACTGACTGCCCTGGAGTGGAGGCCCACCCAAGCGTATGTGTCCCCCAAAGCCTGTCAGTCTCCCTGGGCCCCTGCCAAGAAATCTTCACCTGACATTCTTGAAAGCCTCAAAAAAAAAACCCACAAAAAAACAAAACCCAAAACAAAACAAACAAACAAAAAAACCCAGCAACAAACAGTGGAGCTGGAGAGAAAGAACAGCAGGTAAGGCACTTGCCTTGTACAGTGCTATAAGGCTGACCCTGGTCTGCTGCCCAGCACCATCGGGGTGCCCAGAAGTCCTTCAGGAGTGATCCTTGAACTCAGAACCAGTAGTAAGCCCTGAGCACTGCCAGGTATGGCCCACAAACAAACAAACAAGCAAAAAAAACCCAAACCAGTAGCAGGCTCTGGGGTAGGATTGTTCTCGATGCTGTCAAGTCCACTGTGTGCTGGCCCCTGCCCCCACCTCAGAACCCATCTACCCAAGAGGAAGGGAACAAGAGGCCGGACGTTCAGAAATGAGGGGGCTCCAGTTCTACTTAGGGGATCTCGGGGACCCCCCCTTGAGTGCCAGACTCCTTCACGCCAACCCGGAGAGGAGGGTGCCCACCTACACGGAGAGCTGGGCTGGGCTTCTCAGAGTCATCTCCAGGGAACTCCAAACCTGGGGTGCAGGAGGCCCAGGACTCGAGAGAGCAAATTAAACCTAGAAGGGCAGGGCGAGGCAGGCGAGGAACGCTCCGCCTGTTCCTCGGGATGTGCGTGTGTGTGGGGGGGAAACAAGGCGCGCGCCCCCCACCTCCCACGCGCCGCCGAGCGAGGCGGGGCCTGGCGGGAGCGCGCCCGGGGCGGGGCTTCGGGGGCGCGCCCGGGAGGGCGGAGGGAGGGCCGGGGGCGTGGCCTACGGCTGGGGGCCGGCGGCGGCGGCGGCGGCGGGGAGCTGGGACGCTAGAAGCCGGGAGCGCGGGGCTCAGTCGGGGGGCGGCGGCGGCGGCGGCTCCGGGGATGGCGGCGGCTCCGCTGCTGCTGCTGCTGCTGCTCGTGCCCGTTCCGCTGCTGCCGCTGCTGGCCCAGGGGCCCGGGGGGGCGCTGGGGAACCGACATGCGGTGTACTGGAATAGCTCCAACCAGCAGTGAGTCGGGGGCTGGGAGTCCTGGGGGAGCGCGGCTGGGGGCGGGGAGGCGAGGGAGAGGGGGGACCCGGGCCGTGGGCGTCTGTGAAACTCGGGGGGCCGTCTGGCAGGGGCCGTGGAGGTAGAGTAAGGAGGGCTTGGGCCGTGCGGAGGAGGCAGCTCGGGGACACCCCACCCCACCTTGGCTTTCCTCCACATCCGCCGCTGGAATAGCGTACCCCCACTCCCCCCACCTTCCCCCCCGTCGCCAGACTGGGGCTTCCGAGTACCGTGAGACGGGGCTAGGCCGCCGCACTTGGGGGGCCCAGGCATGACCTGTTTTCGGCCCTGAGGGTTTCCAGGGATTCTGGGCAAGTCTCCTGTTCTCCAAAGTGGGGTCCACGGCCGAACGGGAAATCCGACCCGGCGCCTCCTGCGAGCCGAGGCTCGGGGGTCGCTGCCCCGAGTGGGCGCAGCGGCCGAGCTGGGGCACCGATCGGAGGGCGCGGGGCGGGGGTGCCGGCGGCGGGCGCCGTGTGAGCGGGCGTGCGCGCTGTCAGCGGGCGTGTGTCTGAGTGTGTGACTTGTGTGTCTGCGTCGGCGACCGTCTGGGGGGGCGAGGGCGGCGGGTCGGGGAGGGGGCTGCGGTGGCCGCCGCGTGGCCGGCCGCCGGGGCCGGGTGCCGGCGGCGCCGCGGCGGGCTGGGCGGGTGTCGGCGGGGCCGTGCGGTCCCGGCTGCAGGCCGGCTCCTCCCGCGCCCGGTCCCCGCTGCCCTTGTCCTCTCCTCCCGCCGAGCCGCGGCGTGCTTCCCCCGGCCGCCTCCGTGCGTCTGTGTGTCTGTGTGTCTGTGCGCGCGCTCGCCGGGGAGATCCCCAGGGACGCGGGGGTCACTGTCACACCTGCCCTGGCGGCGGCGGCGGCGTCGCCTCGGGCTCCCCACCTCGGAGGGCGACTCGGGAGTCCGTGGCGAGGCCCCAGGGGAGGGGGCCCGGAGGGCCGGCGGCCGCGACCCCCAACCTCCCGGGGGAGGGGCTGCCGCTCGCCGCTCCGCTCTTTGTTGTTTGGGGCTCCGCGCCTCCCCCCCACCCCCGTCTCTCCCTGCTCGCACCCGGAGTGTCAGACGGGGGGTGGGGATGAGCCAACGACGCCCCCCTCTCTCTTCCCATGGAAACCTCGGGGGTGGGGAGACGGCCCCTCCCCCCCGGAGCGGGACTCGGGAGAACTCCGGGGGGCGACGGGGGCTGCCTCGCCAGCTCCATCAAGCTCGTCCCCCTCCCCCAGACTCACACGTCCGCCCCCCGCCCCGCTGGAGTCTGGCGGGGAGTGGAACGCCAGCAGGTGAGGGGCCCTGGGTCCCCCCAACCCCCGCCCTCGGGGCACCCCGGCGTTCCCAGGGGAAGCCAGGTGATGCGGGAATGGCCTTGGGTGAGGGGGTGTGCTGTGGATCGGGTTCCCCTCCCCCGCACACACCTGGGCGCAGGTGAAAGCTTGGGGAAGGAGGTGCGGGAGCCCGGGGGCCGGGCGCCTCGGGTGCGTCCTCCTTGCGCCCCCGCAGGTCTGGGCCAGCGGAGGTGTGAGGGGGTGCGCCCCGGGACGGGAGGCCGCCGCCGCCCCCACCTCGCTTCCTCGGCCTTTGTTGCCGCTGCGCCCGGGCTCCCCGGCTCCCTCACTGCGGCAGCCGCGGCCCCATAAATCGTGAGAGCGACGTGCTCCGGAGCCGGGAATGGAGAGGGCCGGGGAGCTGGGGGCGGGGCCCCGCCGAGCCACAGGCTCCCGCGCCCCCTCCTCCCGGTCACGTGAGCTGGCCTCCCGGCTCCCACCGGCCCCCAGTCACGTGCCGAGGGTCTTTGCCCCTTGGGTCACGTGGAGAGGGTCTTGCGACCCCGCCTCCTGGGGTCACGTGGGAGGGCACTGATGGGACACGTGCGACTGCCCCCTTTGACATACCTGCCCCCCACTGGTTCCTTCGTTTAGGCCCGGAGACTCGGCGCGAGACCTGTTCTCAGCCTGATCTGAAAGCTGGGGACGGGGGCGGGGGGACAACTACAGGAGAGGCGCTGGAGAGGGTGAGGTCGAGGGGTCCCTTGAGTCGGAGCTGAATTGGGGGTTGCTGGGCGGGGTTGGGGTGAGGACCGACCCGGGAGCAAGTGTGTGCCCCAGGTGGGAGCTTTCTTTCTTTGCAGAGCTGTGCGAGGGTGTTGGGGTCGCCCCTGTCTCCAGAAGCCTGGGGCTCAGCTGTCTCCCTCCCGGTCTCTGCGTCTCTGCACGGTTTCCGTGGCTCTTCATTCACACGTTCATCCATTCATTCGGCAGATGCTTATTGAGGCTCTACTACGTCCCCTCTGGGTCGGTCTTACTGTTTCGCCTTGTCGCCAGTCTGACCTGCACCCCACCTCTGCCCCTCTTCTCCCCTCTGCGTCTCCGCGCCTGCTGCTCGTGCGCCTCTGGATCGGTGTCCAGGGCTCCGTGGCTCTGCTCTCCTCTCGTCCTCTCTGGCGTCGGGACACCCTCCCACCCTACAGTCTGCCGCTGGGTCCCACTCCTTTGCCCGTCTCGAGAACCGGCCCACCCCCGCATCCCCCCTCTGGGTGTGTGTCTCGCTTTCGGCGGGTCTCTCGCTCGTCTCCGCCGCTGCAGATCAATAAACCTTCGCTGCCGCCGCTGTCGCAAGGAGGAGGGGCGCGGAGGTGGGGCGTGAGGAATCTCCCCCACCCGACGCGGGCCCGGGGTGGCGGGGCGCGGAGGGTGCCCGCGGGGCTGCGGGGGTGTCGGCGTGCACACGCCTTCCCGAGAGGTGCCCCCCCAACCCGCCGCCCCCGTCCTGGGTGCGCAGACCCCACGCTGCGCACACGTGGCGCGGCCTCGCTGGCTCGGGCGACCAACTCCAGTGTCGGGGCTCAAAGCCGGGGACTGGGACCGCGGCCCAGTGGGACCCCTCTCCCCACCTCTCACCTCCTTAGCTCCGCACCCCGGCGTCTCGGGTCGGGGGCGGGGATCTTACAAGTTTAGGCTCCCTCGGGAGCCCTCCCCAGCTCCCAGATCTAGTTAGACACCCTGTTTACATGCCCCTAATTGCCCCTGGGGGAGAGCTTTGCTCCTTCCCCGCTCCCCCGCCTCCCACCCACCAGCCCCCTCCGGCTCCTCGGGCAGGCGGGGCACTGCAGGCGTGAAAGACTGGGGTCGGGAATCACTCCGGGGGCTTGAGAGCTTCGAGAGCCGAGATCAGAAGGTGAGGGGGCACCCGCTCTAAGTGGCGCGGGTCGGTGCGCGCCTTCCAGCGAGCGCCCGCCACCTCGGGGATCCGGTGCTGAAGGAGAGTGGGCAGCATGTGAAGGGGCCCGGCCCGTGGGGGTGTGGCTCCGGACTGGGGGGGTGGGGCGGGGGAGGCGGGTCCCTGCTGCGCCCCAGCCGCGGCCCCGCCCTCTCCACTACCTGGGCTGGGAGCATGACAGATTCAATTAAAGTGCCCCAGCCAGGCCGACACCTCCGCTCTCTCGGGAGCTGTGGCCGCAGATGCCTGGCACCTGGCCCTTGCGCCCCCCCTCCGCCCCATCTTCCGCTGTGGGTAGAGCCACTCCACCAGGGGGCCCTTCTCCCCCGCGCCTAGCCTGGTGGGGAGGGGGAGGGCGGGCGTTCGGGGGCTGTCACTGCCACCAGTCCCCGGGATCAGTAAGAGCCGGCATCTCTCACTGGGGTCACCCTGTCACCTTCCTGGAAGCGAGTCCCCCACCTCCTAAAGGAAACGGAGGCGCGGGTAGGAAGAGCCCCGACTCGGGCTTAATCCCTGCTGGAATGGGGTGTGAGGACGGGAGGAGTGAGTGGGTAGCGCCCCAGGGAGGCGCCCCTGGGGAGTGGGCTGGACACCGGGTGCGGCTGTGCTCGAGGACTGAGGCCCCAGTGTTGGATGTGAGGCTGCTCCACGTCGCCCCCTCCCCTCGCCTGTAGGGGAGGATCACCAGCCCACATTGGGCTTGGGGATGAGGAGGCCAAAAAACGCGGGGAGGCGGCTTGGAGCCAGTGGAACTCGTTTTCCCGCTCCCGGTGCCCCAGGCCGAGACTCCTGCCCACCTGAGCGCCAGGGCCCGGGCGGCGCCCGGTGACCCATCGCTCCCGTGGGAAACAAGTGGGGCCGCTGGCGTCCCGATGATGATTCAGAGGCGGTCCCCGTTCTGGGGTGGCCGCTCGCACCGGCGCCCCACGCCTGCCCGTGCGCATCAGCTTGGAGGGGAGTCCCCGGGGAGGGGGCTGCGGGAGGGGGAGAGACCCCAGGCCCCACCCTGCACAGAGTCGCCAAGCCTCTTTCCCTAATGGATCTAATTACTGTTTGTGGAAGCCGGAGGTGCCTGGCGACCCAGGAGCCAGTCCCTCCCCTCAGGGAGTTCCCAGGAATGGGGGACCCCAGTGGTCTGACATCTTGCCAGGTTCCCCCACACCGTCCTGCGCCCACCGCTTGACTCACCTACCTCTGCGCCGCCCCCCGGAAGTGAGGGACGCCCGGCCCAGCCTTTGAGTTTCCCCCGGCCCCCTGACAGCGCCCAGAGGCTGTGACGACCCCCACTCGGATGCGGATGCGGACTGGCCAGGCAGGTGGGGATTCCTGGAATCCCCGCCTCGGCTGGGCCCAGAGCAGGATGTGGGGCGCGCAGGTCCAGCCATCTTGTCTAGGCCCGGTGCCCACCGCTCTGCCTCCGGGTTGGGGTGCCCAGGTAGCGGAGGGAGGTGCGGAGAGTCGCGACAGCTTGGCCTGGTGCCAGGGAGCCTTGGTTTCGAGCCCCTCCCCTCGGGGACCTGAGTGCCAGTGGCCTCGGGATGGGGGTCCGGGGCACACTGGGACCCTGGAGACCCGTGCGCGCGCGCGGGCCGGGAGGCAGCTCGCGCTCCCTGGGACCAACCCCCACTTGCACGCGAGTCCTGCACGCATCCCGCCGAGCGCTGCGCGCGCCGCCTGCGTGTGGGCGGTGGACATATTTGTGTGTGTGTGCCGCGGAACTTGTGCATGTGTGTGCATGAAGCCTCGGTGCACGCGTGTGTGCGGGCAGGTCCCGGCGCCTGACCTGGGGGGCGTGCAGGGAGACCTCCCAGCCTCACCCCGCTCTCGCCAGCCTTCCACCCCGCCTCCCCGCCTCGGGCTTCTGGGGAATGGACGGAGGAAATCCGGGCCCGGGTCTGGGAGTCGCAGGGGCCTGCGCCGTTTCTGTGGTAACCGAAGCGCACGTTCCCCGCTTTCCTCCACCCTGATCCTCCGCCTCTTTTCCTTCGGAGGCCGCCGAGCTCCCCGCGCCGCTGCTGCCCTCTGCCGGCCGCCGGGAGAAGGCGCGAGCCGGGGAGGCGCGCGCGGCTGTGGCGGCGCTAGGGCCCCGGGGAGGCCCCGGGGGACCGAGACCCAGGAGGCTCCGAGGACCCTGGGAGGGGGGGAGGGCTGCGGAGCGGGGGCGGGAAGCGCCTGGCTCTGGGGTTTCTCGTCTCTGATCCGCTTCCTCCCCCCCCCCCCCCCCCCCCCCGTCGCTCGTCCCCCGCTCTCCCATCGCAGCCTGCGGCGAGAGGGCTACACGGTGCAGGTGAACGTGAACGACTACCTGGATATTTACTGCCCGCACTACAACAGCTCGGGGGTGGGCCCCGGGGCGGGCCCGGGCCCCGGCGGCGGGGCGGAGCAGTACGTGCTGTACATGGTCAGCCGCGCCGGCTACCGCACCTGCAACGCCAGCCAAGGCTTCAAGCGCTGGGAATGCAACCGACCGCACGCCCCCCACAGCCCCATCAAGTTCTCGGAGAAGTTCCAGCGCTACAGCGCCTTCTCGCTGGGCTACGAGTTCCACGCCGGCCACGAGTACTACTACATCTGTGAGTGGGGCCTGGATATTTACTGCCCGCACTACAGCAGCTCGGGGGTGGGGTCTGGTCTGCAGCCCCCCTGCCCTCCGAGCCTGAGGCCTCGGACTCCGGGCTCAGAGAAGGGCGTTGGGGCAAAAGTTGCGTTCTCGGGAGAGGGCCCCCAGTGGAGCTCCTAAGAGGGGTGGCATCAAAGGGGCCTGTCGGCCCCGCGCGAAGCCGGCGCGGCCACTGTCCAGAGAGCGGAAGGGGGCCAGGTCAGGGGCCTCCCGATGGGAGCAAATGCGTCGGGGGTGGGGGTGGGGTTTTGCAAAGGTGCGCTGGCGAGTTTCCGAGGGCGCGGGGTGGAAGTTGGGAGAAAGTTGGGAAGACTCAGCCCCGTCTTCTCCCCAGCCACGCCCACCCACAACCTGCACTGGAAGTGTCTGAGGATGAAAGTGTTCGTCTGCTGCGCCTCCAGTGAGTACCGGCCCCTGCCAGCTGCGCGCCCCTCCTTGGCTCCCCCTCCTCCCCCCGCTTTGGGCCTGCCCCTGGCTTCCTGGGGATGGGGGCGGAGGGCACAGGTGAGGGGGACTGGCTCCCCAGCTATAGCAGGAGGGAGGGGATCCCGGCCCTGACTCTCCCCTCCTCTCTCCCCACCCGCACCCCACCCCGCAGCATCGCACTCCGGGGAGAAGCCGGTCCCCACTCTCCCCCAGTTCACCATGGGCCCCAATGTGAAGATCAACGTGCTGGGTGAGTCTGCGCAGCGCCCTCTGGTGGCCACTGCTGGAACCGCAGCCCCCTCCCCGGTGCCTGCTCACCTCGCATGTCTTCCCTGGGACCACGGATCTCCCCGACTCCCGTGGGTGGCCACTCCCCCCCCCCCACTCCCACCCTGCTCCACCGCTGCTTTCCTCCGCTGCCTTGCCTGCCCCGCTCTGGCACGCGGTCCAGCCCTCACCAGTCTGTTTCTTCATTTGTCCACAGAAGACTTTGAGGGAGAAAACCCCCAGGTGCCCAAGCTGGAGAAGAGCATCAGCGGGACCAGCCCCAAGCGGGAACATTTGCCCCTGGCGGTGGGCATCGCCTTCTTCCTTATGACGCTCTTGGCCTCCTAGCTCTGCCCCCTCGCCGGGGAGAGATGGGGTAGGGCCTCTCCATGGAACCCTCCCTGACCGCGGGGCCTGGACCCCTCCACCGATGACTGGAAGTGGGGTCTGCACCACACATCTGTGCTCCCCCGCCCTCTCCCCCCTGTAGGGCTCAGCCACGGACCAAGCACAGGGACAGTCTTGGTCCCAGGTGGCCTTGTGGCTCTGGGAATGTCTGGTACCAAACACAGGGCGTAAAGGGCAGTGCTCAGGTCTCCCTGGCCCCCGGTACCTTCCTCTGACCCCGTCCCGCCAGGAGACCCATGTGCCCGGGAGCTGGGCATGGACAAGTGTGCGAGGCACCCCATCACTCTAAAGGGGCAGAGCTGGGGAGGGGACTAGATGGGCGAGGGGGTGGCCCGACCGCAGCCCCCTCCCCCGGTTTACAGCAATAAGCACGTCCTCCTCCCCCCACTCACACCCCCAGGGTTGTGGTTTGGACTGAACCCACGTTTACAAGTAGACCCCCCTGAGGGGTGGGCAGTGGATAAGGGTGACAAGGGGTGGGCACTGGGCGCCAGGCAGGCATGTACAGACTCTATATCTCTCTATATATAATGTACAGACAGACAGAATCCCTCCTCCTCCGCCCCGCCCCTGACAGTCCGACTTCCCCACCCAGCTTCAGACCCCTCCCCACCAGGCTAGGCCCCCCTCTGGGGGACCCGCTGGCCCCTCTTTTGTCTTCTGTGAAGACAGGACCTATGCAACGCACAGACACTTTTGGAGACCGTGAGACAACGACGCCCCTCCCCCCCAGTCCCCAGCCGGGACCCCAGGCCAGGCCCTGGCCCCACCCACGTGGCCCCGCCCGTCCTCCTGGGCCTTTTTCAAGTGCTTTGGCTGTGACTTTCATACTCTGCTCTTAGTCTAAAAAAATAAACGGAAGATAAAAATAACCGAGTGTGTGTGATTTCCAGGGGCCGGCAACCTTCTTTAACCCACAGGTCACAGGCTGGCCTGGGCAGGGATTCCGGGGCCCAAGCCACCTCCGGACACCCTTTTCACTTTTAGGTGGTTTGGGTTGTGATAGTCTCTCCCAAGATGGGGGAAAGGCGGAAGGAGTGGCAGAGGGTGCCAGGGACACCTTTGCTCCTTTGCTCCCCCTCCCCCCCCCCCCCCCCCCGATTCCTAAGGGACGCTCTGGACGGGAGTCTGTGGATTGTAGTGGGGTGTGAACCTAGTTAAGAAAAAAGTCACGTCTTGATTTTTCACTTGCCTGTCCCTGAGGTTGAACCTTCTTTCATGTACCTAGACAAGATGCCTCACTAGCAGAAGGTGCTTGTGGCTTTGTAATGGGCAGAAATCACAGATGTGTTCAGCCTGCATTAGGACTTTGGAAGCTATTTCAAAATATCCAGACAGTAGTTGTTAGCCCTTCATTGTTTTTAATGTGTTAATAAAAAACATATATATATATATTGCTATACCTCCCAATGTAAATGTTTTGATAACGTGCTTCAATATAATTACTTTCCTTTATAATCTTTTGTAACTTTATTTCATTGTGATGTCTTGGCAGAAAGACTGAGTGTTTCCCGGTTTGGTGGGGAGGGTGGGGTGTGGGAGGGGAGGTTGTCCAGGCCACCAGCACCTGCAGGGGGCAGGAGAGGGAAGACCCCTCCTGTGGGCTGGATCAGGTCAGAGCCGCACCGCTGGGCTGTGGTGTGGTGTGGAGAGGGACAGCGTGCTCATCTTCCCTCACCCCTGCCCACAGGGACAGGGCCTTATCCATATGGCCTTGCTGAGCACCCTTGCTACTCAGTCCCATGGAACTTCGCTAATTGGCACCAGGGCAGAGGGGTGGTCCTTGGTGAGTGTCTCTCCTGGGGACTGCAGGAGAGAGCCAGCCCTTGGTGGCAGGGGCGAGGCCTTGTCCCTCTGTGCTGCTCATAAAACATGGGGAATAGAGAGTGGAGACAGAAGGGGCTGGGAGAGGGAAGAACAGAAGGTGGGGGGGAGCGAAGGGAGAAGTGGAGGGCCGGAGTAGGCCACAGCTCTCCACACAGACGAGAGTGGGAACTGGGTCCTCCCTCAGTTCTTTTTTGTTTTGGGGGCTCTAGCAGTGCTTAGAGCTTACTCCTGGCTCTGTGCTCAGGACTCACTCTTGGCAGTGCTTGGGAGATCACATGCGGTGCCAGGAATTGAACCCAGGCCGGCTGCTTGCAAGTCAAGCACTCTGCCTGCTATACTATCCATCCATCCCTCCATTTTTTTTCCTGCTTTTTTTGGGGGGGCCACAATCAGCAGTGCTCAGGACTTAACTCCTGGCTCTGCACTCAGGGATCACTTTCAGCAGGCTTGGGGGACCAAATGGGGTCCTGGGGATCAAAACTTGTTGGCCACAACACGGTAATCACCCTCCCCGCTATACTATGGCTTTGCCCCCTGCATCTCTCTCTCTCTTCTTTTTTTTGGCCACACTCAGTGGTGCTCAGGACTTACTGCTGGCTCTGCACTCAGGGATCACTCTTGGCGAGCTCAGAGGACCATATGGGGTGCTGGGATGGAACCCAATCGGCCACATGCAAGGCAAGCAAGCGCCCTATCGCTGTACTATCACTCTGTTTCACCTCCCCATTTGTTCTTAATGAAGAAAACAATCTTTCCGTGGAGCCTGAGAGATGGTACAGGGGTTAGGGCACTGTCCTTGTAATGCAGTTGGCCTTAGTTCAATCCTTCAGGAGGTTCATGTAGTTCCCCAAACAAACACCAGGGACACTCCTGAGCACAGAGCCAGGAATAGCCCCTCTGCATTCCTGGGTGTGGTCCCAAATCCCACCTACCCATAAATAAATAGAAATGCGAAGACTGAAATAATTTCTTCACGGTAACAGAATTTTATATGATATGTAAGAAATAAATGCTCCTCAACATGGTTATTTCTCTTCTGACAAAGAGGAATGTGCATCTGAAAGTTAAAAGTTGTCTCCAGGGGCCAGAGTGATAGTACAGCAGGTAAGGAACTGACCTTGCTTGAGTCAATTCTAGTTCTATCCTCAGCCTCTCCTACGGTCCCCTGTGCACCACCATGAGTAGCACCTGAGTGCAGAGCCAGGAGTAATCCCTAAGCACTTTTTTGGGCATGGCCAAAAAAAAAAAAAGCAAAAAAAAAAAACACCAAACAATATTTGGTCTCAAGGTTTCTTTGAACTGAAGAAAAATGGGATGCTAGGAGATGCAGTGAGGTGTCTAAGGAGTACCCCCCTTTTTTGAGTCATGTAGTGATTCTCCAGGAAACTGAAGAACCTCTTTTATTGAAGGGGGTGGGGTGCTTCACACCTGGCAGTGCTCAGGGGTTACTCCTGGCGGTGCTCGGTGCTCAAGTGACCATATAGGTGCCAGGGATTGAACCTGGGTTGGCAGTGTGCAAGGCAAGCATTCTACCCACTCTGGTCCTGAAGGAACCTCTCTCTCTCTCTCTCTCTCTCTCTCTCTCTCTCTCTCTCTCTCTCTCTCTCTCTCTCTCTTCTCTTGAATCTCTGTTTTAAAAAAGAACTTTGGGAAGGGTTTTGGGGTCACGTCTAATGGTGCTCCTGGTTCTGTGTTCAGAGATCATCTCTGGCGGGCTCAGGGGACCATCTCTGGTGCTGGGTATCAAACCCAGGTTAGCTGTGTGTAAGACAAGCACCCTACGGACTGCATGAGCTCACCAGGCCCCCAAAGGAAATTCTTAAACCACCACACGGGACCAGAGAGATAGCAAGGGGTCCAGTCACATGCTTTGCATGCACCCAACTCGGTTTTAATCCCCAGCACTTCCTCTGACCCCCCTCCCAGCATTACTGGGTGTCCTGGTGCCTCCTCAGGCCCACACACTACACCACTGACCTAGTTGGTCTCAAATCACCACAAGGGTCCTTGGTCTCCCTCCTGATCACCACTTGGTAGCCCCTGCAAAACAGGTTTCAAAAGCTGTGAGGTGTAAGGAAAGAGCATGACTCACTCCCCCCAAAGACACCTTTTCATTTCTCTGGGGGCTCTGAGGAACTGGGGTCCTGTCCGGACTCCCCCTCTACCAAGACTTTCAGTCTCCAGACATGTCCAGGTCAGGGGGTATGGGCTCAGCATTCTCCTGAGGCCAGTGACCTTTGCCTTGTGGCCCCAGGGGTCTCTGGTCAAAGGCAGTGAGAAGGTGGCCCCAGTGGCAGGACCTAGGGACTGACAAGAGGTGGCAAGTCGCAGGGAGGCACAAGTCCTCAGAACCTACTCCACACTTCAGCTGTGCACATGAGCGCTCAATCCTCAGGGACACGTGTGTGTGTTTGTTCGGGGGGGGGCACCCTCTGGGCACCCTCCTTGAGGGACTTCCAGCTGCACTGCAGCCCAGTGTGGCAACAGGAAGGTGTCAGCACTGCCACTGGGAAGCAGAATCCCAGCCCCTGCCCACACCAGCATGTGTGTGCATGCACCGCAGTGAAAGGCTTGCCATGGTGTGTGTGTGTGTGTGTGTGTGTGTGTGTGTGTGTGTGTGTGTGTGTGTGTGCGCACCTGTGCAGACTACCCTCCCCCCATGTCAACAGCAGTAAACCCTTCTTGAGGGGCAGAGCCAGATCTGAGTGGGGAAAGTGAACCCCAGCAGCAAGCTCAGACCCCTCCTTCCCACGCCCGCACGCCAGCAGCTGGGGTCCGGCTGGCTGGGACTTCTTGATGAGGCGGAGGCTGGGGGATGAGGGACTTAGGGCTTGGGGAGTGGTGTGAGCACCCTCAGCCTGAGCCCTTGAGTGAAGTCTCACTCTTCCCTGTTTGCCCAGATGTCCCTAAGAAGGGCACATTTGCACATGCTGGAACTCCCAGGGGCCCCTCTCAGGAGGCCCCAGGATGCAGCAAGGTGGAAACCCTCCTGGGGACCATCCCTTCCCTGCCTCTCCTGGGTGATCAGCCCACATGGATGGGGGTGACTTACCCAGTGGGTGAGCAATTCCTTGGGCCTCGTGTGGGCCTGGGTGGCCATTGGCCATCTAGCAGAGCCAGAAGCCTTGTGCCTTGGATGTGAACCCTTGGAGGTAGCAGGGTGCTGTGCCAAAGGGGGTCCCAGTCTGGGCCCTTCCCCTGCTCTAACCCCTGTTCCAGAATTCCTCCTCCCTTTCCATTCTCCCTCCCTCAGGTCTACAGGTAGAGTTTTGGGGGGAGAATGTGAACCCTGTCCACACCATCCAGCTCAGTTACAGCCCCAGGCCTCACTTTGTCCAGCAGGCAAACTGTGGGCATGAGCCAGGCTTGGGGAACAGGGCTTGGGGTGAGGCACACAGGCTGTACAGAGCAGTAACACGGATTGGAATGGAAGGGCACGAGTTAGGACCAGGGGCATGGGTTGGGGTAAAGGGTCCAGAGCAAGGGCTGTCCAAGGGACTCAGGAAGTTAAAGGGACACAGAAGCCAGAGGACAGACGGGAGCAGGGGAGGAGGGCTGTCCAAAGGCCTGTCCAGTTTCTGGGACCAGCCAGAGCAGGAGGGCATGTCTCAGGCAGGAGTGAGGAGGGGAGATGGGCCTCTGCATGGGCCCAGCCTGATGGGGGCAGGTGTGGCACCCCCCCGCCCCCAGGGTCAGTGCCAAACTTCTGGCTTTCCCTACAGCGTCTGTCTCCCTGTAATTACAGGGCAGCCACCAAGTCTGGCCATAAAAGGCTGGACAGACCAGCCTGGATCTGGGAGGACTCAGCTCAAGTGGCCTGGGGTCCCTTGACTGCCCCCCAAAGGGCTGGTCTGGACCAGAGGACACTCAGCACACACGCAGCTGTGCCAGTGACCCATCACCCCCTCCCCCCTCCAGTTGTATAAGATCGCCAAGTCAAGGAGGGGTGACTGCTGAAGAAGCCTCAGGAAGAAAGGCGGGGTTTCCATAGCTGCTGTGGACGGGGCCAGGGGGAATAGGCCAGGCTCAGGCAGGAGGGTCCAACAGGTCCCAGCACGCTGGTCTGGCTTGTGGGCACGCTCCTTCCACGCACATCCGGGTGGGTGTGTC